CCCCGCCACAACCACACACAGACTCTGCGTTTGCTCCGATCTTCAGTTTCCTTGCGTGTGGTCGTCTTTGCTCGTCAGAGGGATGAGGCGGGGGACGGGGGAGCCTGCAGGAAGCTGGTAGGCGAGAGGTGTGTTCTGCAGGGTGGAAGGGGGGAGGCATCCTGGAATCCTGCCTGGAGGAAGAGGCCTCTCGGCGTTCACCCCAAATGTGCTTTATTTTTTTTAAATATGTTTTTATTGATTTCAGAGAGAGGGAGAGAGAGAGAGGGAAACATCAATGATGAGAGTCACTGACCTGCTCGCCCCCTGCTGGACATCGAGCCCACGACCCTGCATGTGCCCCGACCGGGCATCGAACCGCGATCTCCTGGTTCCTAGGCCGACACTCAGTGAGCTTTAATGGGCACCCACCTCAGCCTCGCCTGGGTCCCCTGTGCAGACGCAGCCCGGAGACTAAACTCAAGCCGCCCCCTGGTGACCGGGGAACCCAGCTGGGCTGTGGGAGTGGTGGCATCTGGGATCTGGCCTGTGTGACCCGGATGTGGGAGTGTCGGTTCATCGTGGGTCCTGCCTTCACCCCCAGAGCCACATGCCTGGGGCCCCCCGGGGGTCAGCACTGCCCAACACTGAGCTAATTAAGTCTCAGCCTCAGGGCTGGGTGTCCTCGGGCGGCTGAGCCCATGAGCGCTTGTCCTCCGGCCCACCGGCCACCCACGGTGCAAAAAGGAAGGAACCAGTTTCTCTTTATGGCCATGTGCCCTGTCCCCTGTGTCCTGCGCTGGCCGACCTGACCGCAGTCCTTCAGTCTGTCCCTCACCTCCATGCCCTGCACACCTTGAGCAGTGCACCTGCCAGCAAAGCATCCCTGGAACTGGGTGCAATGCCCCCCCCAGACCTGGGCATGACACTCTGCCTGTGACCAGCACCCCAAGGTGCTGTGGTGCATGCTGTGTGGACAGGGGTCAGCTGGACAGCCATCAACCAGACACTCTGGACTCTCTCTCACCCCAGAACCTATGTGCCCCCCCTCCCCGGCCACCTAGACCAACAGGGATGAGACTCCAGGCTCTGTGAAGGGTCACGACCGTCCTACACCCCAACTTTCAGAATTGCCTGAATTTCCCCCCGAGGTAAGGTAAGAGCCCGGGGTCCTGGTTCTTCCCTTTGGGGGATAATAGCTTTTGTCTCCATGTGGGCTGGTCAGCCACCAAGACACAAGACCCGTCCGTGGAGTGTCCCGGGGCAGCCACAGCCAATCCCCGTAATCTGGGGGCTCAAACCCACAGGGACCCGTCCTGCTCCAGTTCTGCCGACCAGGAGCCTGAGGTCCAGGTCAAGGTGTCCCAGGGCCCAGCCGGCGTTGGCTCAGCGGTTCAGCATCGTCCTGCGAACCAAGAGGTCGCCGGTTCGATTCCCGGTCGGGGCACATGCCCGGGGTTGTAACCTCGATCCCCAGTAGGGGGCGCGCAGGAGGCAGCCGATCCGCGACTCTCTCCCTCTAAAATCAATTTTTAAAAAACAATATGTTTTGGGAAAAAAAAAAAAAAAGTGTCCCAGGGCTGAGGTCCCTTCAGAGGCTCCAGTTGCAGGTCTTTCCTGCCTCTTCGGGCTCCTAGGGGTGACCGGCCACCTTGGGCACCCTCGGCTTGTAGACAGGCCGCTCCAGCCCTTCGGGGGCTGCGTTCTGCACACGGCCCCCACCTTCCCGTGGCCGCCTTATGCCAAGGACACCAGCCCCGGGGAACCTATAAAGCAACATATCCCAATGTGACCCCATTTAATTTCTTTATACCAGCAGCAGCCCTGTCTCCAAATAAATTCAGCTTCTGGGATTCCAGGGGGATATAAATCGAGGTCGGGTGCGGCCGGGCGGGTGCGGCTCAGCGGTTAGGGTGTCGGCCTGAGCACTAAAGGTCGTGGGTTCGATGCCCGGTACCTGGGTTGCAGGGCCAATCCCTGGCCCGGGTCGGGGTGCATGGGGGAGGCGACCAACCGATGTGTGTGTGTGTCTCTCTCTTTCTCCCTCCCTTCCACTCTCTCTAAAAATCAATGGAAAAAAGTATTGTTGTTGGTGGCGATTAACGTAAAATAAATTAAAAAAATGGACGGGGGTGGAGACACAGTTCAACAAAGGAGCTGGCATCTCCACCTAGGGCTTCAGGGAAGGATAGTGGGGGGAGCTGAGACCGGGCAGCGATGACCAGAAGGACCGTGGCGGGGGGGACGCGGCCAGAGTGGGGTGCTGAGCCACAGGAAAAACAGATTATACCTGGAAAGGAAGCTGGGGGCAGCTGGGTGGATGCTCCGGGGAGGCCTGGGTTTGACCCCTGGGTTTGAGGCCTGGTTTGGGCAGCCATGGAATCGGAGACGCAGGGTCACCGCCCTGGCCAAGGAAACCGTGCAGATGCCCTTTGGCCACGCCATTCATGATGCCTGCCCGGCTCAATCCCCACGGCAGGAAGTTGCTCAAGTCCCTTTGAACGGAGAGCGAAACTTAGAATTACAACCGACGGGAACAAGGGGAGGCAAAGAAAGGACGCGGCCAGTCGGTGGTTCTGGAAAAGGCTTGATTTCAGGGAAAGCGTGCACGTCTGTCCAGTCCGCTTACCCACAGATTCTGAGATGGGGCGGGACAGCAGGGCTCCCTGACCCGCCGGGTCACCTGCCACCTGGACCCTCATTGGGCCTGGTGGCCAGGGGCGGGGCACCACCCAGACTCTATAAAAAGCTGAACTGGGAAAAAACAAGCTTTGGTTTCTCTTCGATTCTTGCAGCTTGGGAAACAGAAGACAGAAGTGAGGGGACCAGAGGGGGGACCCCCCCGATCCCAGGGCACCTGGACTGGAGCCAGGAGGGGCTCCTTGACTCACAGGGGACTGGACTCTACCTGCCAGGTAAGATGCAGGTGTCAGGTGGGGTGATGGGGAGAAGGCTGGGCCCTCGGCCGCTGTCCTCGGTACCCCACAAGGGCCACCCCGCGGGGACACTGGCGTGGGAACGGGACTCGGTCCATGGGGAGGTGTTGTCTGTGGGCCACGCACCCCAGATTCAAAGCCAGGGGTCAAAATAATAATCGTTACAGGGATTATATGCTTGGCGTGTGGCATTCAGAGAGTATATGGTGAAAGTGGATTTGGGGCCAGGTTTTTCATTTTTTATTTATGAATATTTTCGTACACAACCGAGGATGGCTTTTTATTAATTTTTTTTTTTTTTTTTTGAGAGCGAGAGAGAGAGAAACATCAATTGGCTGCCTCCCATAGGCACCTTTACCGGGGACTGAACCTGCAACCTGGGTAGGTGCCCTGACCGGGAATGGAACTGGCAACCTTTTGGTTCATGGGGTGACACTCCAACCAACGGAGCCACCCGCCAGCGACGATTTTTTAACGAAACCACGTGGAGGCAGAGGCAGAGGTGGGAGGGGTGCGGCCACCAGCCCTGGGACCCCTGGAGCCCCTGAAGCTGGAAGGGGCAGAAGGACCCTCCCCTGGAGCCTCCAGAGGGAGCTCGGCCCTGGGACCCCTGGACCTCAGACGTCTTTGGAAACAGGGTCTTTGGGGACGTGATGAAGGGAAGGGTTTGAGATGAGGTCGTCCTGGGTCGGGGGGCCCTACATCCAAGGACAGGGCCCTTGTAAGAGACACAAAGGGAGGCGCAGACAGAGAGGAGAAGCCGTGACCCAGTGGGCCCGGGAGGCTGCCACCTGGGGGAAGGTCGAGAGGGATTTATGGGGACCTGGGGAAAAGCCCTGGCTGGGGTGTTGGGACAGCACGGGGCCTAGTTACAGTAACTCGGTCTAGTCAGGAAATTTGTTCTGCCTTGATTTCGTATGATTAATTGAACTTCCTTCCACGGCTTTATTATCACAGGGTTTCCTGGTGCTTTTCCTGGAGCGTGCTTTCCGGGTGTCAGGATGGGGCAAGAGCCTAGAGGAAGCTCAAACCCCAGGGAGGGAGCTCTTGGAAGACAGACCTATGCACACGGATAGATACACACGAGTGCACAGACGTGCACATGTGCACACACGCATATACACCAGTGCACACACCTGTGTATACACATGCACATGTGTGCACACAGGCAGGTGCATACATACATGCACACAAGACATACATATACACATATGTACAGGCATGCACACACCTGCATACACACGTGTGTGCATAGGCAGGCACCTAAACATTCGCACATGCATGCACACATGAACATGCATGCACATGCATGCATGCAGTGTGTGCACACATGGAGACACAGGAGTGCGCACACCTGTATGTACACACGTATGCACTCGAATGTGCACGCATGTGTATAAGCATGCCTGCATGCAGACTGTGCACATAGGCAGGCATGTGCACACATATACACACACACACATGCACCCATGTACACAAAGGCACATATATACACAGAGATGAACAGACACGCAGACACACATGTACACACGTACATACAAACATGCACACATGAGTGTACACACAGGCACACACACACACACACACTCACCTCCAGGCCCTTTCCTCCTGCAACGAGCTACCTGCTCTCCCAGCACGAGGTTCCCTGAGCTCTGAACCCTCCTGGCCTCCCTCTCCCGTCCTTGAAGCCACAGCCCCTGGGTATCTCTCTTTCCTCCGCAGGTACCACCCTCCCTCCCATGGGCACTGCCCTTGCCATGGTCTTGCTCTGGCTGCCGGTGCTCCTGACGCCCATCTCCTGTCTGCTGCAAAGGGACCAAGGTAGGCGCACCCCCTACGCTGTGCAGGTGTCTTGTTTTGGGGGAAACCGTTGGAATTGAGATTACGATAGAGTCACATGCAATTATAAGAGATAACAGAGGGCTTCTGCGCACCCTCCACCCCATACCCCCAGTGGGACCTTCCCAGGACTAGGGCAAACCACAGCCAGGACATGGAGCTGGGGGCAGCCAAGGTGACAGAGCCTAGGATTGACCCCTTACCCTCGTGACCTTGCTCCCTTCCTGGGAAGGGAAATGACCGTGGAAAAACCAGGGTGATGGGTTGAGTTTTGTCCCAACTCAATTCATACGCTGCAGTTTCAGCCTCCAGGAAAGTGAATGGGTTGTATTTGCAGGCGATTGGGGAAAAAATATCCTCGGGTGAGAATTAATAAAACAAAAAATCGGGGGGACGGGGCGGGATTTGGAGACATGCGTGCCCTCGGAAGCCACGTGATGACAGAGGGTGAGATTGGGGTAATGCGCCCAGAAACCAAAGACCGCCAAGAATTTGGGGCATCCCTGGGAAGCTCGAAGTGAAGGCAGCAACCCAGTGATTTTTAGAGAGAGTAGAAAGGAAAGAGAGAGAGAAACATTGATGGGAGAGAGTCACATGGATCGGTTGCCTNGGTGAGATTGGGGTAATGCGCCCAGAAACCAAAGACCGCCAAGAATTTGGCTCGTCCCTGGGAAGCTCGAAGTGAAGGCAGCAACCCAGTGATTTTTAGAGAGAGTAGAAAGGAAAGAGAGAGAGAAACATTGATGGGAGAGAGTCACATGGATCGGTTGCCTCTTTCACGCATCCCAACCGGGGCGGGGAATCAAACCCGCAACCCAGGTACATGCCCTTGACCAGAATCGAACCCGAGGCCCTTCAGTCTGCCGGCTGATGTTCTAACCACTGAGCCAAACCCACCAGGGTGGCAGCTTTGTTTTCAAGGGGCTCCATTTATATATAAATATAAATATAAATATAAATATAAATATAAATATAAATATAAATATAAATATAAATATAAATATATCCATATATATATATATATT